CTCACTGATTTTGTAGATCAGTTCTAACCGTTTTTGTATGTAATCTTTAGGATTTTTTATACATAAGCTGATGTCATGAACAAAGAGATATAATTTAATTTCTTCTTTACTTGTATGAATGCTTTTTACTTCCTTATCTTGTGTAAGGGTTCTGGCTGGGACTTCTAGTACTATGTTGAATAGAAGACATGAGAGTGGTACAAGTGGGCACCTTTGTCTTACTCCTGATCTTGGGAGAAAGCTTTCAATTTTTTACTGTTGAGTATGATTTTAGCTGTGGACGTGTCACATACACGTATTCTGTTGCAGTACATTCATTTATACCTAACTTTTGAGGACTTTTTTTAAACTTTTATTTAGTAAATATAAATTTCCAAAGTACAGTTTATGGATTACAATGTCCCCCCCCCCCCATAACTTCCCTCCCACCCACAACCCTCCCGTCTCCTGCTCCTACTTTTGAGGACTTTTAAAATCAAGAATAGATATTGATTTTTTTCTGATGATTTTTCTGCATCTGTTGGGATGATCATGGGGTGTCTGTCCTTCATTTTTTTAAAAAAATTATTTATTTATTTGAAAGTCAGAGTTATACAGAGAGTTCACTCAATTGGCTGCAATGGCTGGAGCTGCGCTGATCTGAAGCCAGGAGTCAGGAGCTTCTTCCTAGTCTCCCACGTGGGTGCAGGGGCCAAGGACTTGAGCCATCCTCTACTGCTTTCCCAGGCCATAGCAGAGAGCTGGATTGGAAGTGGAGCAGCCGGGTCTCGAACTGGAGCCCATGTGCCAGCCCTCTGTCCTTCATTTTGTTAATACAGTTCGTCACATTTTGTGATTTTACATGTATTAAACCATTTTTACAACCCTTGGATGAATCTACTTGATCATGGTAAATGTTCTGTTTAATGTGCCGTTGAATTAGATTTCCTAGTACTTTGCTGAAGACTTTTGCATCTGTGTCCATCAGGGACACTGGCCTGGAGTTTTCTTCCCTTGTAGTATCCTTGCCTGGCTTTGGTATGGATGTAGTGCTTAGCGGTGGACACTTGGATGGTCACTAATCTGTTATAAACAATGTTATAGAGAATGGACTTTCCATATGAGAGCAAGGATATCTGTAGAATAAATTTTCCAGACCGGAACTGCAAAATCAAAGGATAAAAGCATGCTGAGTTTTGATAACCATTGTCAAACTTTCTTCCCTGGAGGTTATACCATTTTTTATTCCTACCAGCAATATGTGAAACTGCAATGTAAGTATTACTGTCTATGTTTTAGATATGGAGAAAGCAAGGCATGGAAAATATCAAGTCATATCATTAATATTCAGGTTTTAACTCAAATGTGTGCTCCTCTGTATCTCACCTATTCAGCACTCATCAGCTAGTGTTTTGTTCTGATGTTCTTTGACAAATCACAACAAAGCTCAGCCATGAGGGATGGCCCCAGAGAAGTGGCCTGAACAAAACTTATGAACATTCGGTGGATAAAGGAAGGAAGAGAAGGAATTTATCTGTTCTCTCCCTCCCATGCCCTTCTCACAGTCCGTGGGGTAGATAATACACCGGCACTTTTGACTTGGATCTCTCAGCAGATGCTGGGGAAGAAAGATTCCAAGTTTTGCTGGGTCTAGAAATGGTGGGCAGCTGCTGTAGCTGAGGGTCCCAGAGACACGTGAGGCCAAGAGAGCCTGAGATGGCCTCCATCTCTTTTTATTATTAAATCTAGTGCTTTCTACCTAAAAGATGTTCTAAAACTTCTAAAAAATTAAATTAAAAAATTATGTATTTGAGAAGCAGAGAGAGAGAGAGAGAGAGAGAGAGAGAGAGAGACTGAACTCCAAATAGTCCCAGATGTCTACAACAACTGGGGCTGTGCTGGGCTAGGGCTGGAGTCAGGAGCTAGGACCTATCCAGATTTCCCAGCTGGGTGGCAGATACTTGAGCCATCATCACTGTCTCCCAGGGTCTGTGTTAGCAGGAAGCTGGACTCAGGTGCCAGAGTTGGGCACTGAATCTAGGCACTGCAGTGTGAGACTTAGGCATTTTAACCAGTAGCTCAAAAGCCCACTGCCCCAAGAAATGTTTAATTGATCATTCAATTGAAGTAGTATTAATGCAAATAAATATTCTTATTCTAGGGACACACTAATATACAGCAACTAAGAGCCCCGTTTCCCTGGGTTTCAGCACCAGATCTGACACTGAGCAGCTGTGTAACCCTAGCCAAAGCACTTTGCATTTCTGTGCTTCATCGGTAATATGGGATTAACACCTACAAGAATACTTGGCAGCTAACAAGAACTGTGTGAGACTCAACTAGTATTATCACATCTAGCTTTCATTAAGTATTTATTTAATTTGCGTCATTTGCCTGATGTGTATCATCTAATTAATCCTCTCAATAACCCTTTGGCATAGGTGGTATTACTAACCAGTGTTAGACAGTCACATTATCCCCCTTTTAAAAAATTAATTTATTTATTTGAAAGGCAGAGTTACAGAGAGGCAGAAGCAGAGAGGGGAGAGAGAGAGAGAGAATTTTCCATCTGCTGGTTTATTCCCTCAAATGGCTGCAACAGCTGGAACTCGGCCATTCAGAAGCCAGGAGCTAGGTCTCCCATGTGGGTGCAGGGACCCAAGCACTTGGGCCATCTTCTGCTGCTTTCCTAGACACATAAGCAGGGAGCTGGATTGGAAGTAGAGCAGCCAAGATTTGCCCATATGGGATATGCCCATATGGGATACTGGTGCTGCAGATAGTGGCTTTACCTGCTATTCTTCAGTTCTGGCCCCTACCCGTTTTATAGATGATGAAATCAAGACCCCAAAAGTTCAAGTAACTTGACCAAGGTCAAGGAGATAGAATCAGTCTCCAGGGCTCCCTTTAATCAATTTTACAGTGCCTTTAGATGATCTTTCTAAACACAAATCTGGTAATATCATACCCCTATGTAAAACACTGTGTTGATTCTCCACTGCCTACAGGATCAAGTCCCAGCTTCTTGGTGTGACAAAGATGGGCATCCGTGACCTGGGTTCAGTTGCTTTCTGCAATACCTTCACGGGCCAACCCCTGCTTGGCCCCTTGCACTTTAGCCACAAAGAATTGCTCCTTTGAGTTGCCTTGTTTCTTGCCTTTACGCCTTTATTAACAATACCTCCTCTATCTAGACCATCTTTCTACTCCTTCACCTTTACCTGGCTAACTCGTACTAGCCTTTAAGACTTAGTTCTTGGGAAGACTTTTTTCAGCAAGCCCCATTCTCAAACTGCAGACCATGGTTAGCAACACTGCCTTTGTGCCCCCACAGCTCCCTGCTCACTGTCCTGGAGAAATCTTAGTGTACATATCATGTATGTGTTTGTGCTGCAATAGATTATGAACTCTTTGAGGCCTAGGACTGTGCATTACTCCTCTATATAGTTCTATGCCTAGCAGTGGAATGGACTAGGTGCTCAAGAAATATTTACTAGAGTAAATGTTGACAAAATGAAGAATGAGAGAGAGAGAGAGAGAGAGAGACAGAGGTCTTTCATTCTACTGGTTCACTCCCCAAATGACTGCAACAGCTGGAGCTGAGCTGATCCAAAGCCAGGAGCCAGGAGCTTCTTCCAGGTCTCCCATGTGGGTGAAGGGGCCCAAGCACTTGGGCCATCTTCTACTGCTTTCCCAGGCCATAGCAGAGAGCTGGATTGGAAGAGGAGCAGCCAGGACTCAGACCAGCACCTATATGGGAAGTCAGTGCGCTGCAGGATCAGGCTTTATCCCCCTGCGCCACATTGCCAGCCCTGAAATCCACATTTTCATTCCATTCATACAAAATTCCCATTTCAGTTAAAACTCCTGTATTTTTAAGAGGTCTTATTTGCTGAAAGAAAAATTATTTATTATACCTTAATAACACATAGGTTCATGGTCCAAATAAGTACAAAACAAAACAAAACACCGATTTACTTTCTAGGGGCTTTCACAAAGACCCTGACCTATCTAAAGGAGAAAGTTAAACTGTAGGAACAATATCACACTTCCAAAGCATTGCTCTTTAAAATCGAAGCAAGAAGGCAGGAGTGAGCAGCTGGGATATTTCTCAAGTTCAGAACTGTGTTTTTGAGCTTCAAGTATTATTAGAGTTTCTATTGCAGTTAAACAAATTGTAATTATCACAGTGGTAAAATAATGAACTAGTAATAATAATAATAATTATTATTATTATACAGAAGTTACGATCCTCAAATCCCCTCTGAGTGGCAGGTGTTTTTCACCAAGCGTCATATACATTCTCCACGGCAACCGTATAATAGAAATTATTTTTTCCTTTTTCTACTTGGACAACTGAAGTTCAGAGAAATCCAGTGACCTCGGGGCAGGTCCAACAGACTCCTTGGGAAGATTGTGGGCCAAAGGCCACGCTGATTTCATCAGGGCACACTGACCCTCTCCCGGTCTCTGAGAGTTTGCTGCCTGCTCCCTTGCATGTGGGTTCAGGACTTAGACGAATCCGTTTAAGAAAGCAAACGTGGAATGGGTGAAAAGGTTTAGGAACGACGAGCCTGAGCCACAGGTCTGACAGACACCAGGTAAGAGCGCAGAGCAGGGACGCACAAGTTAGCTGCGCCAAGGATCCGGGGGCGGGGCAGAGGGCGATAGGGCGGGGCCTGGGCGGGGCCTCGGGGCAACCTGCGGACCATTTGTGTACCAGCCAGAAATGCCGCCTGTCGCGGGGAAGCAAAGGTGAGGGGGGGGATTAGCGAGTGCACGCGTTATGTGAATCCCCGTACCCTGCTCAAGCAACTCGTCTTCAACTGACCGGCACCAAAGGCCAGTCCCTTCTTTGCTCCCCTGGGCGGACTGCTGGTGGAGTAGGCGGGTGGGTAGAGGGGAACTGGTGCTGCGCGGCACGCCCACCCCCACCAGACTGATTGGTACGGCCCATCCCCCGCCGCTGATCTGGCAGGCTGCGCGCGCACCCTCCGGCGGGGCGCGGGCCGGCGGGGAGCGGCGGCCTCCACGGCCCGCCTCCGCCTCTGCCCCTACCTCTGCCCGGTTCCCTCCTCCCGCTGCTCGCGTGCTCCTCGCCGGCCCCGCGCCCGCGCGCCTTGGCGGGGAGGAGCGCGGCTCGGGGGCGCGCCCCGGCGACTCCGCCCCTAGCTCCCCTCCCCTGAGCCCGGGCGCCCGGCTCGCGCGGCTCGGCGTGTGGAGATTGGGGACCCGGCGCCCGCCCCAGCGCCCCCGCCCCGGCGTGTGAGGCGCCGCGCCCTCCTGCTGCCCTGCCCGGTGCATGGAGGGGCCCGGTCGGATCGTAGCCGCCGCCAGCGCGCTGGGGGATGACCTGGGGGTGGCTTTCGGAGCCGGCTGCCGCGCAGGAGGTCTGGGGGCTTAGTCTGCCCCGCGGAGAGGTGCGGGGGAGTGGGTCCCGCAGCAGGGTCGGAGGGAGGGGTGGTCGGGGGAGATGGGGCTTGGGGGCTCCGCGGCGCGGGCAGGCCGGCGAGCCCCGCCGCGCGTGGGGGTCCCTGGCTGCGTGCTGGAGACTGGGAGCCACCTCGCGGGAGGCGGCGGGGTGAGGTGTCAGGGGCGCGGTGCAGCCTCAGAGAGGGATCCGCTGGGGCAGGTGAGCCGCGGCGTGGCGCGGGGCGCCGGCGCGTTTTCCCAAGGGAGCGGGGCTCCTCGGCGCTCCCAACCTCCATCCCGCAGAGCGCCCGCGGGAGACAGTGATTTATGTGTGGGGAGAAGCAAGGGAAATTTCCTGCACAATGTATCTTTCTCTGCCCTCACAGACTCTGAGACTTCCCAGCCCCAGGGAGTGTATTTTTCCTTCTCCTCTGTAAAGCTTTCTGTGGATGGCTTTATCATTTGCTAAATACATTACGGCGCGCTATTTATTGCAGTCTGCAAGCTGCAGACCTTTGTTGCATTCTCTGTGCATCTAAGAATTTCAGTAATAAATCACCGAGGAGGGTAGACTCCCGTGCCCTTCCCTTCATTGTTCCCCGGCTCACCACCACATCAGGTGGAATGCTTGCCTTTCCTGCTGGCCACCGCAGAGGGTGGCAGGTGCTTTGAGGGCAGGCTGCTTTCCCGTTGGGATCTGGAGTTTAGGGAACCTCGGGACCAGAAAGCCAGCCTTTGTGTCTCAAATCAGACACCTTGGCAAACAGGGGGTCGGACTAAGAGGTAAAATGAGACTTTGTTCTCAGGCCAGTGCCAGTCAGGATGAAAAGGCAGAGAATTCTGGTTCCTGGCTTCCCTGATCCCATCTGACATTTGGCGTAGCTGATGACCAGTGTCCGCGAGCAGGTGGGACCCGGCTGGAGAGGGAGGCGCGTTTGTTCTTAGTAATCATTCTAGACATCTGATTACATTTTATAGCCTTTTTCTTGGGAGTCTCAGTTTTAGCTGAAAGTGAGGGTCGTTCAACTATTAGGATAAGATGAAAGGAAAACCTTCCAAAAATTTCTGGAAATTTAAAATTGGCGCTTAACTAAAAAAAGCATTCATAGGCACCCGGAGAGGCACCAAATGCTGTAGTTTCTGTTATGCACATGTTGAAATAAACTGCCACATACCTCAAGTTACATGAGAAGGATGGAGAAAACCTGTTTCATTTTGTAAAGACGTGCCCTGGGTGTGTGTTTGGCACTGTGTAGAGCAGAAACATTTATATTTCTATTAAAAAAAAAACACTAGTGTACATTGTTTAACTTTCATGCAAAAACTCGGATATAGTATTTGGAAAATCTGTCTTTGTTTGAATAGTTTAGTCAACCAGGAAAATCAGTTACCAGAGGTACTGGGCTATTGTTTGTGTAGTGGCTCACTTGGGATGCTTTGATTGATTGCTGTGGGTTCTCTTCTACCTCTTCTGTTTAAAGTACTTCAACAGCCCTGACTCTCCAGCCCAGAAGTGCAGAGAACCCTGAGGACTTGGAGCAACCGATCTAACTTGTGTCAGTTGGCTTCCAAACCTAGCTTACTCTTGGCAGGTGCTTTGACTTTGCATGGAAGGAATTAAGGTCTCTTAAAGATAGGTTTCACCTCCACCACACCCCAGGTGTATTCAGAGCCTTGCAGTGTGTAGGGATAGGAACTTCTGTCACAGGTCTTTGCTTTCAAGAGGGCAGGTACAACTTAATGACCAGTTGTCATGCGAAGTCTCTTCTCACGTTGTTCTGTGTACTTTTATGACTCTTGGGAGGACTTCATTTATGGTTTTGCCAAAGTACAAGTGAAAGTAAAATTTTTCTTTTAGAAATGTTTCATTTGTGAACGTTTAGACTAAAAATTGGTGTTGGTTTCAGGAATTATATTGAAATTAGGGAGGGGGTGGAAATAAAAGATAGTGAATTGAGAGTTTTGTTGTTTTAATGTGTAAACCTGTGTGATTACCATTGAGACTATGTTAAGGTACAGATAAGACAACACATAGATGAGGTGGCAACCAGGTAGCCTTTCTTTAGATAAATGATCTTTCTGTATAATGCAAACTAATTAGATTAGAGGTGGAATTTAGGGTCTGGTTGCTAAATATATTGTCTTGAAGGATTTTGCTTTTATAGTATGCCACTCCCCCACCCCACTTTGGTACTTTTCTCAAGTCTTGTTAGCTTGGGTTGAATTAGAGATTGTTTTATTGTTTTTATTTAAATTTTTATGTTGTATGTGAGCATTCCTTGTGATGGATTTTTGTTGGGTGTTTGACACAAATCACAAGAGTATGGAGAGGAGGGCTTTTCTTGATTTTTTTTTTTTCCCCGTTAAAATTAAGGATGCTATGCAGAATAGACTGAATGTCACTTTAAAACTATTGGATTACAATTAAAGGAAAAACTGGTTTGTTGGTTTTTCTTTTCTTTATTCCTTCAAGTTTTCCCTCATTGTTTGCACTCTTTCCCCCATTGTCAGGCTTAAAACATACAGTATCATTGTCATCTGTCCCCTGGATAATGGTCCTGAGGTGATATTATTAATGTGGCTTTTTAAAATCAAACTAATTATACTTGCCTAAAAGAGCCACATGTGTGTGATTCTAGCTGCCTGGTGCCTTTTGAGAGCCCTGGAGACAAGCTAGTGAATAGAGCTGAAAATTCATTCTGTATTTGATTAAATGGAACAGACTCGCTGCTCCTTACCCCAGCAGGGGCTATGAGATCTCTTGATCCCCGAAGCGGCTCCAAGACCCTGGGAATTCCATTAGCGAGCACCTGAGGAATTTCTGCCCTGCAGTGCCTTTTTTGTATGAGTGTGTGTGTGTGTGTGTGTGTGTGTGTGTGTGTGGAGAGGGAGTGAGCCCAGTGGTGATGGGGGAGGGGGCTCGGGGCAGGGGGCGGAGAGCGGGCTGTATTAGAAGACTCCATATGTTAGCAGATCTAAAATCAAGGCATGACTTAACAGCTTATCTTGTAAGAGAAAACCCAAGCCCAGGGCCGATCCCTGGTCCAGACTTTATTACGAGTGGCAGAGGGGGGATGTGTTTTTCAGCACTGAAGTGAACTCCAGTGTAAGCAGAGGGAGTCTCTTCGCTGCTCTCCTCCGAAGCACAAGCATATACACGTTGCAGACTTGGTGAGTTTTCTTTGAATGATCTTCTGATAAATATGTAAAATTGTGCTACAGTTTGGTCTTGCCTGGAAGGGCTGATGTATTGTTTTAATAACTTTATGAAGTGAGAGCAAAAGTCAAGACTTTTATGTGGAGCAAATTGTTTTTCGGAGATGAAATGCTTGTTTGGATAGGCGTGTTTTGGTTTATGCTTTTGTTTTGATATGATTTTATCGTGTTTTTGTTACATTATGATAGCATTTAAATTCATTTAGGGCCTATCCCCCTTTTCTGTTGTCTTTTTAAAGAATTCTATCTGATTTCTCATGCTTTTGAGGCTTTGCTCTGCAGACTTGCTAGCAGCCCCAAGTAAATGAAAACACATCTACTAAAACATACTGTAAAATCTTTGGAGCAAAAGATTTTGAGAAACATGACTGTCCCTCCTCCCCTGCTCCGAATAGTTTTTGGACACCAACATTTTTCGGAATATTATCTCAGTTGTCTCTTGCGTATTTTTTCAGGAAGACCAGCTCTGATTTGAGGCTGGGGTCGATGATTGGTTTTCATCTTCCGGGGATGTGAATACCAGTAGTTTGCAATTAATGCAGAGTACAGCAGCGTGTTTGATGGTTAATTTGATGTATTTCATCCCTGACTAAAATCGTGTTGTATTTAGTGTCCAGTTCTTTTCATCCTATTCCCACCTAGTCCTGTACCCAATCCTTCTCCTAATACAATGTGTTTAGAAAATAGGGAAGTCTTTTTGATAACATATTGAATTCTTTTCCACCTTAATCCAAGGCATGCCTTCTACTAGTATGGACAAATTGAAAGAGCTCTTGAATGAATTGGAGTAAATACAGAAATTAGCGTTGTGCCTGTCTGGGTTCACCATTGTTTAGTCACTTTACAGTGTGATGTATTTTGGTGGCCAGAGATAATAAAACATTATCCCAAAGAACATTGTGTTCTGCAGTAAATCAGTTGGAATATGAGTAGAGAATCTTAATTCTTGAGAGCAAATGACAGGCCTTTTAATCTCAAGAGAAAAAATACTGGTTATGTTATTGAGCTTAGTTAGGTTACATATTCTGACGTTTTGATGCCTAGAACTGTGTGGTTAATTTGTTTTATATTACCCTAACATAAACGGAGAATTAAGAAGAACTTGCTTTTTTTTGTCTGTTCCTGTTATAGACCAGCTCACTTCTTACTCATTTGAGGTTAGGCAGTGATCTTGACCTAAACCTTGGATTCTTTATCTGTAAAATGGGGATGATAAAAATAGTGTCTGTTACTACTGTTGTGGGGATTAAATGAGATAGTGAAAGTAAAGCACTTGGCTTGTAGTCAAACCTCTGTAAACGTTAGCTGTTTTTTTTTTAAATTATTAATTCCTCCTCCTATACTTGTTAGTGTATTACTTTGATCCAGAGTTATTTCTTTGAAGTACTAAAAAATGAGGAGTTCTTGGAAGTTAGTTTAGCTAAATGTAGTTGCTGTAGCCTTAGCATGTTACAGTTTTCTTAAATTTGCAGTGGAAATGGAGAAGAGACTTGGAAACAATCTTGCATTTTTCCCCCCAGGGAAGTATAATGTAATGCATACATTGTACAGCTAATGTGCATGAAGTGAACAGCTAGTAAACTAACAATTGCACACACCTGTGATAATCCTTACTCAAGAGAGGGCACATTTCCTTCACCTGGAAGGCTGCGTGAGCTGCCCTTACTAGGCAGCCCTCTCTCCTTGCAGCAACACTGGGGACTGGGCTCGCAGTAGTCCAGTTGCCCCTACTCTTGGGTTTATAAAAGTGGACCCACAGCACATGTGCCCTTACGCCTGGTTTCTTGTCCTGCTCGTTGTCTGCGAGATTGATCTGTGTTATTGTATACGGTATGAATTCATGTTTTTTCAATTGTTTCAGAGTCTTGTGTATTTTAGAATTAATAGTAGTTCCTTTTATTGGCATGTTTATCATTGGGGAAAGAAAATAACAATACTCTTCCTAAATTTTTTAGAAAATCAGATCCCAGGGGCTATTTTAGAAAAATGACCATGGCTTCATTTTCATAGATAAAACTGAGTTGAAGATAAAATAATTCAGTTGGAGTTCCATAAACCAAATCCTATGGTAAATGCATTCATATTTTCTATGTTTGTTCCTCAAAATAGGGGAAAAAAAACTTACCTAGAGTAGGTTATATTCTTCATGTTTAAGATTAAATACCATTGTCAATACTTAAAATTGTGTAGATGTGACCACCAGCCCACCATTCGTTTTTTTTTTTTTTTGAGTTTAAAATGAAAAACACAGTATTTTTCTCAGAAAAAATAAGTTGCCTACCAAAAACAGAAGAAAATGGAGCTAGTGTGTTATAGTCTAGGAAGATACTGGAAAGTAGGATTGAACCCTTCGATCGGGAAGACGTGTTGGTTACTCATCTTATTCACAGTTGCTGTCAGCTGGTGCCTTATATATTGAGTTTCTGTTTGTATTTTGGAATTCCTAATATGCTAAATAAAATGTATGTCACAAGCAGAGAGGCATGAATGCAAGATGGTACAGGTGAGCCAGAAGCTTTTGATTTGAGGGGAGCTAGGGCGAGGTGGATGCTTGGATGTCTGTGATTGGAAGTGTTTGATTGAGGACTTCCTGAGTGTTGGTTCACCACCAGCCATTGTGCTCTCAGGAGACACTGTGTTTTTCAGCATTTGCAATTTTAGTTAATCTTACCATGCACACAGCACCATGACAGGCTCATTCTGCACAGACAGCCGTGTGCAGGGAGGGTTTCTCCGGGTCTCCAGGGGGCCCCCTTGTCTCTCTTTCTTCCTAAGTCAGACCATCAGAGGCCAGGATTGCGTCAGGGAGGGAGGTGGGGATGAGCTGAAATAGCGATACCCCATTCATCTTATGTCTTTGGTGGGGGCATGCAAAGATGTGGATTATGTTTCAAAAGAATGAGAAAAGCTTATTTTGAGAGTGCAGGAGCTTCTTATCATTTATCCATGTTCTGTGCAGTTTGCAAAGGATGGTGTGGAGACCATCTCTTCCTTGAGTGAGAGGTTGGGCTACGTGACCCCAAAAGACCTCTGTATTGCTAAGGCTCCTTGACAGAGGGTTTTATGGTGAGGCTCAGCCACACACCCACCACCAACTTTGGAGGGAGAACACGTGTTCAAGTTCCACACAGCCATTGGAGAAATACATGTTTCGAAACCAACCCCAGTGGAAAGTTGAGACTGCCTCTGCCTGCCGGCCTCTTTCACTTTGAACGTAATCCTTAGTTATCACAAGTCAGTGTCCAGTAGTCTTCTGCTTAAAGAACGTAGGAACTTTCCCAGTATTCTAAGCATATGATATGATGATACTTTACAAGTATGGTATTTGCCAACTTTTTGTATACGTAGATACACCTCTGAGAATTTACTTGAAACTGTCACTTGGCCCAGTTAGATATATTCAGTCCTATATTAGATATCAAATAAAAATTGGTCTGTGCGCTGCTTATCTCTTCTTCCAAACCTCTCTAAACGTGAATTTCAAAGGAGAGATATAACTCATGTGGTGAATTATCCAAGCAACAAAACTATATTCAGGATATTTTTTGGGCTCCACAGATACTTAATCCAATGATGTACACATCTTTTCTGTATAGTATTTTGTGTCAATATTTTATATTTAGAATTGCTGAAGGGATTGTGAAATCTTGAATCACCAAAGTAAGATTTTCTCTATTTTATGAAGAAGAAAGGTCTACAGAGTTTTTCCTGCTGTATGTTTATATATTCACATAAATCCCCTCTCTGCCGTCCCCTGTAACCCATCAGCAGGTCTCCTGTCCTATTGTCTGTAACCATTACCTTAGGTTTCTCGTGCAGTCTCAGAGTCATTCCCCTTCTTGATGCCTCTGCTGCCCTTAGCCACTCAGCATTCCTGAATATTCCACGCTCTCTCCTGCAGCCTGGGAACGTGTCTCTCATGGCACGGACACAGTTTGATAATCGTGTACGTCATTCTCTTACTCCTGAGAACAGACAGCCTGATCCCCCCTCACCCCACCCCGCCCTCTGCCTAACAAACACCAAGTGCTCAGATGTCCTGCACAGCATTAATGTGTATTTGAATTTCTTGGCAGGGGTGGTGGGGTTGGATGGTGCTGTTAGCATGCAGATTCGGATTCTGTGGGTCTGAGGGAAAGATTCTCCCGAGCAAGTTCCCAAGTGACATTGAGAGGTGGGTGGAGCACCTGAACAGCAAGATGCTCAACGTCTTTATGTTTTCCAGATCCGGGAATGACTTCACACAGAAATCAGTGACTCTGAGTGTCAAGTTCAGGGAGAGATACTTCAAATAATGAAGACCAAAGAAAGCTTTAGAGAAAGAAAGAGTTACATGTTGAAGATACTAGGACATCTGTTTTCACATTATTACTGGAATGGTTGCCAAATATTTTGAATATTTTAAAAATTTTATATATTTAAAATGTGTATTATTGTTCTGTGCAATATCATTCGGAGCTGATGTCATGCGTTGTCTGTGTTTTAAGTACTTAGTGTTACAAGAGTTCTGGGTGTTTAGGGACTAAAATGTAAATTCCGGCTTCTGCCTCATGGAAATTTCTGACAGTTACTGGCTTTTTATGGTATCAGAATAAAATAATTAATATTCTCTGTTTTACTATAATTTGATATTTATTCAGTTGGTAATTCTGCACATTGTCAGGTTGGAAGTAAAATTGGCAAGGGGAACGCATGTTTAATGGATAAAATACTACTTTTATCAGGCCGTGAAATTACTATAGTGACATCAGAACTTGGCAGCCTCTTTTATTCCAGTGAAAAGAAAAATAGTACCATAAGCTGGGGAGAAGAAATGTTTCTTGCCCATCGATTTTGGCTGCTTTTCATGGTTTTGGCCCCAAGGCCTCCATATGACAAAATAACAACACAGTGAATAGCAGGCGATGGGAATCAGTCAGGGAGCATGGTTTCCTCTCAGACAAACTGTTTATCAC